TAAAATCTTATCTCCCCGTACCTCAAGTAACGGTTTTAAAATCTTACCTCCCCGTACCTCAAGTAACGGTTTTAAAATCTTACCTCCCCGTACCTCAAGTAACGGTTTTAAAATCTTACCTCCCCGTACCTCAAGTAACGGTTTTAAAATCTTACCTCCCCGTACCTCTAGTAACGGTTTTAAGATCTTACCTCCCCGTACCTCAAGTAACGGTTTTAAAATCTTACCTCCCCGTACCTCAAGTATCGGTTTTAAAATCTTACCTCCCCGTACCTCAAGTAACGGTTTTAAAATCTTACCGCCCAGTAGCTCAAGTAACGGTTTTAAAATCTTACCTCCCCGTACCTCAAGTAACGGTTTTAAAATCTTACCTCCCCGTACCTCAAGTAACGGTTTTAAAATCTTACCTCCCAGTACCTCATGTAACGGTTTTAAAATCTTACCTCCCCGTACCTCAAGTAACGGTTTTAAAATCTTACCTCCCCGTACCTCAAGTAACGGTTTTAAAATCTTACCTCCCCGTACCTTAAGTAACGGTTTTAAAATCTTACCTCCCCGTACCTCAAGTAACGGTTTTAAAATCTTACCTCCCCGTACCTCAAGTAACGGTTTTAAAATCTTACCTCCCAGTACCTCATGTAACGGTTTTAAAATCTTACCTCCCCGTACCTCAAGTAACGGTTTTAAAATCTTACCTCCCCGTACCTCAAGTAACGGTTTTAAAATCTTACCTCCCCGTACCTCAAGTAACGGTTTTAAAATCTTACCTCCCAGTACCTCATGTAACGGTTTTAAAATCTTACCTCCCCGTACCTCATGTAACGGTTTTAAAATCTTACCTCCACGTACCTCAAGTAACGGTTTAAAATCTTACCTCCCGTTAACTCTCGTCTGAGTGGGTAAAAAAAACACCACCACCTCCCCACGCTTGCTGTCGTCGTGTTTTAATCAGTCCTGGTCCAGGGCTAGGTCTGTCACGTGTCACGCCATCACCTCTTGACAGCTGACTTTACCCACAACTTTCTCTCTAGTTAACCACCAACTTTCTCTCTAGTTAACCCCCAACTTTCTCTCTAGTTAACCACCAACTTTCTCTCTAGTTAACCCCCAACTTTCTCTCTAGTTAGCCACCATTTTTCTCTCTAGTTAACCACCAACTTTTTCTCTAGTTAACCACCAACTTCCTCTCTAGTTAACCACCAACTTTCTCTCTAGTTAACCCCCAACTTTCTCTCTAGTTAACCCCCAACTTTCTCTCTAGTTAGCCACCATTTTTCTCTCTAGTTAACCACCAACTTTCTCTCTAGTTAACCCCCAACTTTCTCTCTAGTTAGCCACCATTTTTCTCTCTAGTTAACCACCAACTTCCCCTTTAGTTAACCACCAACTTTCTTTCACTATCACCTACATTGTATCCCTCCGCGAAGAATTCTGTTTATAACCCGTCCAATATCTAGCTCGCCTGACGTCACCACACCTAGATGACTGGTCTAAAATACCCTTACATGAACATCCTCATCTCTCTATTCGATTAGCGGGACTGTCCACAGAATGGCGCTTGTTACGTAAGATTATTCTGATAGAACCTCAATCCACTGATTCTGGTTCCTCTAAACAATACAAGTTTGTACAGGCATGTATTTTTGAATAGGCGATATTATTATATATCTTAAGAAAAAATATAGTTCTAGTGACGTAGTGTGCTTTCATTATAGGATTAATTCCACTTAATCCACACCCAAATCTTATAAAAATCTCCCACACAAAAAGTGTTTGAGTGTATAGAACACATTAATCCACAAAGAATTTTTTTTACTTCAAGCCTCTACAGCTCACCTAATCCTTTTAGTTTAGTCCGAATGTCTACTTCAAACCACTTACTATCCCAACAATCCACTTGTGATGTCCTTGGACGCTCCTTAGATCAATATTTGTCTGTGTTTGGGCTTCTATCATCTTCCTATTGTTCAATACTTCTTTTACTTAAAGGTAAAAAAAAACCTCATATTTGGCAATATTTTATTTATATCGCCCAATTTTTTTTATAGTAAATCGTCAATCGTTTGGTTTTGAATTATCGAAATAATTAAATTCAATCAACAGCGCATCGTGTTTTCCGTTATATGTAAGTTCCCCAGTGCTGTTTGTATGTAATTTTTTTCTTCATTGAACGTCCACAGCTAGCCTAGTGTGGGCCGTTTCTTCCTGTCTTGAGCATGCTATTTTACCGGAGTATCAATGCCACTACCCTCTTCAAAAACTTGTTTGAATTCACTCTGACACAGACGCCCCGTGGTGCTTTAAACTGATGCCGTCATGATCTGACTCTAGGACGGCGTCTGATGGTGTTGCTCTACTCTTAGAGCCAACACCCGCTCTTGTATACCACGTTACAGCATCATATTACACCGCCTTACATCATCTCATTACACCACCTTACAGTTACAGCCAACATTTACATCCTTGTTGTTAAGCTACTTCTTAAGTATCCGTAAAATGTCTTCACTACCATTTATTTTAAACATTAGCCGACATACCCCACCCCCTGACAAACCCCACCCCCTGACATTATGTCAATAGCAGAGACAACACAACCTGACTTGGTCGAGCTGTGGAACAACTTATCCCCCTTGTCAAGCTGTGGTTTAACTTATCCCCCTTGTCAAGTTGTGGTTTAACTTATCCCCCTTGTCAAGCTGTGGGTTATCCCCCTTGTTGAGCTGTGGTCCAGCTTATCCCCCTTGTCAAGCTGTGGTTTAACTTATCCCCCTTGTCAAGTTGTGGTTTAACTTATCCCCCTTGTCAAGTTGTGGTTTAACTTATCCACCTTGTCGAGCTGTGGTTTAACTTATCCCCCTTGTCACCCCCCTTGTCGAGCTGTGGTTTAACTTATCCCCCTTGTCAAGCTGTGGTTTAACTTATCCCCCTTGTTGAGCTGTGGTCCAGCTTATCCCCCTAGTCCAGCTGTGGTTTAACTTATCCCCCTTGTCGAGCTGTGGTTTACCTTATCCCCCTAGTTGAGCTGTGGTCCAGCTTATCCCCCTTGTCGAGCTGTGGTTTAACTTATCCCCCTTGTCAAGCTGTGGTTTAACTTATCCCCCTTGTTGAGCTGTGGTCCAGCTTATCCCCCTAGTCCAGCTGTGGTTTAACTTATCCCCCTTGTCAAGCTGTGGTTTAACTTATCCCCCTTGTTGAGCTGTGGTCCAGCTTATCCCCCTAGTCCAGCTGTGGTTTAACTTATCCCCCTTGTCGAGCTGTGGTTTACCTTATCCCCCTAGTTGAGCTGTGGTCCAGCTTATCCCCCTTGTTAAGCTTTGTTTTAACTTATCCCCCTTTGTCGAACTATGGTTCAGCCTATCCCCTTTGTCGAGTCAGAAAGAATTAAAGTGCACCACTAAATACATTTCTACATCCCCCCCCCCACCAACTCCCTCTCCCATTACTTGTGTTGTTACCCTGAGTCACCCATTTCCTTTGAGAAAATGTCCCTGTCCAAACCACTCGGTCGACGAGTAGATAGATCTCATTAGCACAATGTTGTTTTCATCAGTCTTTGGTAATTAAAACCCGCCCCCTGTCAGTGACATGTATAAACCCGTCCACTGTCAGTGACATGTATAAACACGCCCACTGTCAGTGACATGTATAAACCCGTCCACTGTCAGTGACATGTATAAACACGCCCACTGTCAGTGACATGTATAAACCCGCCCACTGTCAGTGACATGTATAAACCCGCCCACTGTTAGTGACATGTATAAACCCGTCCACTGTCAGTGACATGTATAAACACGCCCACTGTCAGTGACATGTATAAACCCGCCCACTGTCAGTGACATGTATAAACACGCCCACTGTCAGTGACATGTATAAACCCGCCCACTGTCAGTGACATGTATAAACCCGCCCACTGTCAGTGACAGGTATGAACCCGCCCACTGTCAGTGACATGTATAAACCCGCCCACTGTCAGTGACATGTATAAACCCGCCCACTGTCAGTGACATGTATAAACCCGCCCACTGTCAGTGACATGTATAAACCCGCCCACTGTCAGTGACATGTATAAACCCGCCCACTATCAGTGACATGTATAAACCCGCCCACTATCAGTGACATGTATAAACCCGCCCACTGTCAGTGACATGTATAAACCCGCCCACTGTCAGTGACATGTATAAACCCGCCCACTGTCAGTGACATGTATAAACCCGTCCACTGTCAGTGACATGTATAAACCCGCCCACTATCAGTGACATGTATAAACCCGCCCACTGTTAGTGACATGTATAAACCCGCCCACTATCAGTGACATGTATAAACCCGCCCACTGTCAGTGACATGTATAAACCCGCCCACTGTCAGTGACATGTATAAACCCGCCCACTGTCAGTGACATGTATAAACACGCCCACTGTCAGTGACATGTATAAACCCGCCCACTTGATCATGTGAAACTAGGGGGGAAAGTTTCCGACTATAAAAAAAGTTTTTTAATGACTAAATTCCCATTTTATTGTCTTGTATATGTATCACTTAAATTGGATGTCCCGTTTCAAATGTATTTTAATTCAACTAATGTTCTCTTGAATATTCTATTTAACAAACATGCAATCAACGATTTTTAAACCTAACTCTGTTTACTTATTTAATTTTTTATAAGCATCAGCTCAACGCAATAGACGCTCACATGTTGGGTCACTGGACTTCCCCACCACACTCTTTATTACCAGTTTAAAAACTTTGTGAGCGGCCATGAGCTTAATTTGAGAAAGTGAAAGAAAACATTTTTAGTTTGACCAACATTTTATACTCCATGGCTTCTACTCTACTCTACTATCACTATAGATGGGTTTATGCTACCAGATGAACTAAACACCCTATTGTAGACTGTTGTCTTAACGAATGCCATGTGTTTGATTAACTTCTAAAGCCCCTGTTGTAGACTGATGTCTGTAATGATTGCCATGTGTTTGATTAACTCAATACTTTATCTCCAGAGATCGCAGACGACCCGGACTGGAACCCGTGGGGTGAAGAGTTCGAATCCGAACTCCAGCCCCAGCTCCACCACAACCCTCCAGAACTCTGGCAGGATGGCCCGCTCACCATGGCCTTGAACCAGCACCGCAGCGTCAAGGAAGATTGGCAAGGTGAAGGTCACGAGGGTTATAAACCGTCGGGGAAGCGATCACCACTAGAACGGCAGGAGACCAACACGAGTGTACACTCGGTGGAAATCTGGAGCAAAGCCGCCATTGGTCAGTTCATGTTTTATTTATAGCCTCACTTGTTTTCTTGTCGATCTGTTTTGTAATCTCTACATCAACTCTACATGTGAGATTATTCTCTAAAACAGTGGTTCCCAACCTTTTTCGAGTGGCGACCCCCTTTTATAAAAAGTAAGTGACCCACGACCCACATAGAATTAAAAAGCCGAAATTAGTATGGAAATTAATAAGCACTAAAATAAGATTTTCTAGTATACTTTCAATATGAACTACTCTTATAACTGTTTTAATAGCATGAGTAAAATTGCATACTATTCACTAAACCTTCGTGGTTAAGTTTTTAATTAAAAAAAAATTTTTGTTAACGCCAACCTATGTCATTATAATTATCTTAATTTTGTTTTTAATCGAAGAATAGTGTTGAAAATATATTCTCGAAAAGTCAATCAATTTTACGTTTGGGTATGAATGGTGAATACTACACCAAAATTGTGTCTACAGTTTTTTATCTTACTCGGAATAATTCTGCAAATCAAAGAATTCATCTTGAAATTCATCGGGAATGCTGGCAACATTACGGGAAGAAGAGAATGGGTAATGCGTAAATGCAGATTCTTCTTTTTTCAGCTTTGAGAAATAGCGATGCAGTTCGTTTTCAAGAGATTCAAGATGCCCAGAAATCGCGTCTTTCAAAATTTTAATTATCTCACAATCAGATTCATCGACCACGCCGCAGAGTTTCTCAAATTTACAAAATTTCCAAGATTTATTTTCTTTACCGATTTTGCAGCTTTGGTAAAAATGCCCCGAGATTATCATGGAAAGTTATAATATTCGTTCATTTTCCCTGAAGCTTCATGTTAAGTTTATCTTGATGTTCGAATATATCTGCTAGGTAAGATACTCTCTCCAACCACTCTATGTCGTTTTAAGTATACCAAAAAGTTTTGTTGTCTTGTTTGCTTTGCACTTCCAAGAACAATTTGATTTCAGATTTCAATTCAAAAACACAATTTACAACATTTCGTTTGACAGCTAGCGTACTGTAGTGTAGAAAAGCAGAACCTCGTGATGTATATAAATGTTTTTGCTAAGTTCTTTGAAGGCTCCAGATCTAATATAATTTACGACTTATACTAGCAATGGACTCTTAATGTCGATTGGTTAGGGCAGTGGTTAGGGAGCTAAATCATTTATGTTTTCTGAAAGCCCGATTTTGAGCTAAACATAGATGGCACACGATCCGTACAAACCCCAACAGCCGTTCTAACCCATTTTAATCATCCAGTTTCAAAAAAAGGTATTTATTTTCTTCATGCTATCTTCTCAAAAGAGCAAATCTTCTTTGCTATAATCCGCATGAATATAGACACAGGCCAGCAACTGCGAACACGAACTCACGTCTGTTGATTTATCAACTTGAAAAGCAAACAATGATGAAAGCTTAATTTCAATAAAAATGTGTTATTTAACATTTACGTACATGCAGCGTTTGATGAGATTTTCTCCTACTCTACTGTTTTTTTTTTTTTTTTGCTTGGCATTTTCTATCGCGACTTCATTTGATGCTTGCACTAATGCTGGTGAAAACTTCCTGTTCGATCAAGTCTCTGGCGTTTGCAACTAGCATCTTACCGACGAAAGAACTCCATATATTTTTTGGTGTGTTCGAATGACTCGTTTTAGTTTTGAAGATTTCATACATTCGTGACTGAGAACAACTTTGTACAGTGCGCTTTGTTTCTTCTCTATTACTATTACATTTCCAGTGTAATTAATGAAGCCGAATTTCAAAAATTCTTCTAAATATTTATGTTTTGATTCAAATTACTAAGGTTTAGTATACCAGTTGGCGACCCCCCAGAAAGACCTTCGCGACCCCCAGGGGGGTCGCGACCCCCAGGTTGGGAACCCGTGCTCTAAAACATGTCTGTCAAATCGTGTCCACAATTAACCAATCAAACAGCAGAGAGTTACCACGCGCAGAACACTCATCAAACAGTGAAGAAAGCGTTGTTGCACTGTTTGAGGAAGCCATTGTTGTGTGTGGACAGCACAAATACTGGCGCTAGACAGTTGCACTGCTTTTTTTTTTTTAGCCATGAAAGAAATCGCTTCAGTTTTTGGAAGAGGGACAAGAAAAAAGTACTCGACTATTTTTTAGTTTGCCCTTTTTATAGCCTCTAAGTATGTGTTTGTAATGTTTGCTACAAAACCGTGGGTGATTCCTCACTGTTACACAGCTCTTAGTAAACAGTGGTAGGGGGAAATACGTCTGGTGAACCAATGCTACTCAGATCACGAGCTAAAGCACGACGACATAACAAACAAGTCGACACAACATAGCATGGCTGATACAACGAACTTGCAATACAGACAGCTAACAAAGATGTAACCACGAATATGTAACAATTATTGAGCACATTGACCTAACGATTCTATGAGCACATAACACAATTCTGTGAGTTCATAGACCTAACAATTCTGTGAGTACATAGACCTAACAATTCTGTTATCACATTGACCTAACGATTCTATGAGCACATTGACCTAAATTTTCTGTGAGTACATTGACCTAACGATTCTAGACCTAACAGTTATATGAGCACATTGACAACACATCTGTTAGCACATTGACATAACACATCTGTGTTGACCTAACGATTCTATGAGCACATAAACCTAACACATATGTGAGCACACAGAACCGTGTGTCCACGCTAGCCCCAAGACTGAGAACCCGTTCTGAACGTTACAGATGTACTTCTGTACAAGAGGTAAACCATAGAGCCATCGATCTCTCCTTCAGCCCTAAGTTTCTTGCAATAACTCAAATAAGATTTCGTTGCCATTTCAAGACATTTTTCTCTGGCCCATCATATAATGAGGTGTCGCGGCAGTTCTCTAGCCTTAGGTTGAAATCAGATCGTGGAGTGGCTGTTGTTGTGTGTCGTGTTGTGGGACTGTTTTGTTGTGTTGTGTTTTGGGACTGTTTTGTTGTGTCGTGTTGTGGGACTGTTTTGTTCTGTAGCTTATGTGTACACAACAAACGTCCTTAACAACACACATTTCTATACAATCCTCTTTCTTCTTCGTCGTTTCTAATGTTAGTGTTGGATGGGATCCCCTCCAACACAATTAAGTCTACGTCCTGTCAACTTGTTTTGCGCCATTGAAGCGGGTGACTCCGATTTCAGCCTGCTTTTCTTTTTGGATTTGCTTCCATAGCCTTTGTACAACCAAGAACAAACTACAAGGAGTTGTTTGATTTTGGAGTTGTCTCTCCTAGAAGAGTGGCTGTCCCCAGCTAACGAGCCTCATCTATCCGAGGGTTCGAACTCGAGACTTTTCGGTTTAGCAGCCATGAGCTTTACCGACTCGACCACCAGTCAATAGAGCCAGCAGCTAGAGACCATTATCTGCTCCCCGTCCTATCTATCGTCCAACCAGTTCTAATGTTACCTCCCAGCTCACAAGTCCACAAAAAACGACCATCTCTAACCATTAGCTTGCCAGGGTGAACCATAAAACCCCACACGGGGTTGGGTTTGGGGGGGTTTTGTCGGAGGTGTTGTTCTTAAGGGAGTGGTTGCCCCCTGAGAAATGCGCCTCTTTAATAAGGATGTTTAACTGGGGTGTTGGCCCTAAAGATGTTATTAACCTGTTAATGGCGACGGAAGAATGGCTTTAACAAGATCCGGTGCTTTCGTTGATCGATTCGTTCGTACGGGCTCACGTCAGACATTGTCCCAGCTATTACAGGCGACCGGTGGGGGCGTATAGAGGACGGTGGGGGCGTATAGGAGTGGGGGCGTATAGAGGATCGGTGGGGGCGTATAGAGGACCGGTGGAGGCGTATAGGAGTGGGGGCGTATAGAGGACTGGTGGGGGCGTATAGGAGTGGGGGCGTGTTGGAGTGGGGGCGTACAGAGGACCGGTGGGGGCGTATAGGAGTGGGGGCGTGTTGGAGTGGGGGCGTACAGAGGACCGGTGGGGGCGTATAGGAGTGGGGGCGTGTTGGAGTGGGGGCGTACAGAGGACCGGTGGGGGCGTATAGAGGACCGGTGGGGGCGTATAGGAGTGGGGGCGTGTTGGAGTGGGGGCGTACAGAGGACCGGTGGGGGCGTATAGGAGTGGGGGCGTGTTGGAGTGGGGGCGTACAGAGGACCGGTGGGGGCGTATAGGAGTGGGGGCGTGTTGGAGTGGGGGCGTACAGAGGACCGGTGGGGGCGTATAGAGGACCGGTGGGGGCGTATAGGAGTGGGGGCGTGTTGGAGTGGGGGCGTACAGAGGACCGGTGGGGGCGTATAGGAGTGGGGGCGTGTTGGAGTGGGGGCGTACAGAGGACCGGTGGGGGCGTATAGGAGTGGGGGCGTACAGAGGACCGGTGGGGGCGTATAGAGGACCGGTGGGGGCGTATAGGAGTGAGGCGTATAGAGGACGGTGGGGGCGTATAGAGGACCGGTGGGGGCGTATAGGAGTGAGGCGTATAGAGGACGGTGGGGGCGTATAGAGGACGGTGGGGGCGTATAGGAGTGGGGGCGTGTTGGAGTGGGGGCGTACAGAGGACCGGTGGGGGGGGGGCGTATAGGGGACCGGTGGGGGTGTATATGAGTGGGGGTGTAGAGGACGGTGGGGGCGTATAGGAGTGGGGGCGTGTTGGAGTGGGGGCGTACAGAGGACCGGTGGGGGGGGGGCGTATAGGGGACCGGTGGGGGTGTATATGAGTGGGGGTGTAGAGGACGGTGGGGGCGTATAGGAGTGGGGGCGTGTTGGAGTGGGGGCGTACAGAGGACCGGTGGGGGGGGCGTATAGGGGACCGGTGGGGGTGTATATGAGTGGGGGTGTAGAGGACGGTGGGGGCGTATAGGAGTGGGGGCGTGTTGGAGTGGGGGCGTACAGAGGACCGGTGGGGGGGGCGTATAGGGGACCGGTGGGGGTGTATATGAGTGGGGGTGTAGAGGACGGTGGGGGCGTATAGGAGTGGGGGCGTGTTGGAGTGGGGGCGTACAGAGGACCGGTGGGGGGGG